AGCCTGTGCCCCTTTTCCTTTACCGCCGTTTCGGTTTAGGGGAAGGGGGTCTGTCGGCCCCCTTTCAGGAGCTTGGGCGCTCGGTACTGGAGAGTGCTTGCCACCGCATCCTTCGACCTCCCTCGTTGTATCGATGTCTCGGCGACGCGTGCTAGCATTTGGGAGTATATCCACATGTGTTAAGCGGAGCGACGGCAACGACAGCAGTCACGACGTAGACAAACGACACTGGGACATCGTAGAAGATGGGAAGTCGAAGGACAGCAGGGGCGAGCATCACGGCAGCATCGGCGACGGCACACGGGACCTTTGGCGAAGGTGGAGACAGCAGGGCAGAGCGGCGCAGGATCTCGTTTCGAGAGCGGGCCATAGGCATCAAGTCGATTGGGGAGCTTGGTGGGCAAGCGACGACTATGATGATTGGTTCTCTGGGGAGAAGCACGGCCAGACATTCGAGAAGAGCGAATCGGACACGCATTCAGACAGCTCACACTCGAGAGGACTCGACGCGCCAGAACAGGCCAAGAAGGCGGTGGTGGCTCGAGGTACGCAGGAGCGGGATGACGAGCACGAAGCAGAGCATCGAGGACGAACGCGCCGAGGAAAGTATCCTCCCTGTCTTTCGTGGGACGGCAAAGATCTCAGCGAGTTGCCAGAGAAGAGGCTGGCGATAGACAGGTGGAGTCGATTCACGGCAGTGCCACAAGAAGAGCAGGGAGAGACGCTGCTGCTGCACCTGACGAAGGAGGCGGCGACGGCGACACGGCATCCACGACCAGGGAGTGTGCAGTACGCTGGAGGGCTTCAGGCTGTCATCGTGGCTTTAGATGCGCTCGCGTTTCCAGAGGCAGGCGCCGAGACCTTCCAACAGCTGGAAAGCACGCTGTTCGCGGCGCCGAGATCGCGCGAGGAGACACTGATGACGTCCACCAACAGGGTCAGAACTGAGCGGAAGGAGCTGGCCAGACTGTTCCCCAACGCCCTTAACGAAACGGTGGTGTGGTTTCTACTACTACTACGGGGGGCAGGCTTAGCCAAGGCGGGGCGAAACCAGGTGCTCATCCAGACGGGGTGCGAGAATGACGCGAACAAGGTGGTGGCGATTCTGAGGTGCATGACCGACGACAACACGGTGACCGACAGGACGACGCCTACGAGGACGGCTTACCTAGAAGGGGTGCGAGAAGACGATGAGCAAGCATTTTCTGACGGCGACGAGGAGGACGACGTCATCTACGACGCCATGGCGAATCAGCTGGGCATCGAGGGGGACGGGGCAAACAGTGCAGACGACAAGCTGGGCCGCGAGGGGACGCTGACGGAGACGGAGGCACTGAACTGCCTGGCGGCGCTTGTCGCATCTCCGCCGAAGCCCAGGGCGCGGGGGGGGGCCAGGAAGATCGTTGCCGACAAGAAGACCAGCAGGGGGTATCGCAACATCTGGGACCGAAGAAGAACCGGGGATAATATCGAGGACATCAAGAGGCGGATCAAGTGCGGTATATGCAGGAAGCTCGGGCGCCGGCACAAGGGGTGCCCCGATGACCCCAAGAACAGGGTCAAGCTGACGGGAGGTCTCATCGCGATGGCCGTTCTGGACGACGAGGTGTGGAGCTAGATCGCTTCGGGGGCGAAGATGGCGTCGAGGTCCAACTTCGTGGGGCATGTCAACCTGGCGGTGGGCGTCGAGAAGTCGGGTAGACCAGGATGGGGAGCAGTAGACGCGGCGTGCGGCATAAACGTGATGGGCCGCCAGACGTACAACGCGTGGATCAAGCGCTACAATGGGCGCCGCGACATCAGACTGGAGACGACGCCCTGCTACAATAAGTGCCGTTTCGGGAACGACCGGGTCTGCGCCGCGACGGAGGGAGTCATCGTCCCGATCGCGCTCGGCGAGTGCAGCGGTGTGATCTTCGTGTGCCTGGTCGAGGGGGCCGCGCCGCTGCTTCTATCCAAGACGTTCGTCGTGGAGCTGAAGGCGTCGTCGCGTGCGTTCCAGTTGGAGCTCGACCTCCCAGAGCAGAATGTCAGGCTTCCCTTGGCGCGCGCTGGCGGTGAGCATTTCCTGCTACAGCTGGGCAACTTTGTGAAGCCTTGGAAGGGGGCCTGAGAGCTGGGCGCCGTGCGCGGAGAAGGTTTCGATGGAGTTCGGAGCGGATGGCGAGTGTATCTATCCATCGACATCTGCCTCAGGAGGCCCCCGAAGCGCCCCGGAGGAGGAGGAGGAGGAGGAGGAGGAGGAGGAGGAGGAGGAGGAGGAGGAGGAGGAGGAGGAGGAGGAGGAGGAGGAGGAGGAGGAGGAGGAGGAGGAGGAGGGAGGAGGAGGAGGAGGAGGATGAGGAGGAGGAGGAGGAGGAGGAGGAGGAGAGGAGGAGGAGGAGAGGAGGAGGAGGAGGAGGAGGAGGAGGAGGAGGAGGATGAGGAGGAGGAGGAGGAGGAGGAGGAGGAGGAGGAGGGGAGGAGGAGGAGGAGGAGGAGGAGGAGGAGGAGGAGGAGGAGGAGGATGAGGAGGAGGAGGAGGAGGAGGAGGAGGAGGAGGAGGAGAGGAGGAGAGGGGAGGAGGAGGAGGAGGAGGAGGAGGGGAGGAGGAGGAGGGGAGGAGGAGGAGGAGGAGGAGGAGGAGGGCGCGCTCGCGCCCCCGTGGTGCTCGCGCGGGCGGCCCGAGCGCGGGGGCTCCCTCGGCGGCGAGGCGCTCGCCCGAGCGGGGGGGGCGGGGGCGCTAAGCCGGCTATCTAAGCGTCTCGAACATCCGGTGGCGGACGCGAAAAGTGCGAAAAGTAGAAAAGTGCGAAAAGTAGAAAAGTGCGAAACATGCGAAAAGTGCGACAAGTAGAACAGTAGAAAAGTGCGAAAAGTGTCGAACAGTCAGAAAAAACCACAAATGCGACAAGTAGAAAAGTAGAACAGCGCGAAAAGTACGAAAAGTGCGAAACGTGCGAAAAGTAGAATAGTAGTAAATTGCGAAAAGTGCGAAAGGTTCGAAAAGCGCGAGAAGTACGAACGTGCGAAAAGCAGAAAAATGCGAAAAGTAGAAAAAACAGAACAGTGCGAACATGTACAAAAAAGTGTGAGAAGGACGAAAGGGGCGAGAAGTACGAAGCAACACAGTGCAACAAGTTGAGAAACGCTAATAGGTGCGAACAACAAGAAAGTCGAACCCTGATAGAACGGGGAACGTGCGTTTGAAACTTGCGATAATAACGAAAGGCAGCAAAGCGGGACTTGCGCGATAAGAGCGAACGTGGAATGAGACACGTGTTGGGAAGGAACCGCATTTTCAACAGCGCGCAGCGCGAGAAGGAGGACCAGTTCGAATCGCGCGAATGGTTCAACATATTCTAAGAGAAAAACAAAGGAGCGGCAGGAGGGGCAGGAAGATGAGGCGTGGCCGTGTTCCACTTGCGTTTTTCCTGCGTTCCGCTTTTCCTCGCATGGAGCATTTTTTTTTTTTTTTTTTTTTTGTTTTGTTTGTTTGTTTTTCTCTGTAAGTTTTTCGCAATAGTTGCCGAGCGCGTTCAACAACCTCGATACTCGATCCTCGAACCTCGATATTCCCAGTGGTTTTCGGGCCGTGCGTAACTCGGGCTTCCGGCGAAAGTTCGGGATGATTTGGGCGCCCCCGAAATCTTTCGATGAGACGCAGCTGCTGGAAAGCATCCGCCCCGCATGCGACGCGGCAGGCAGCGCGCGTTGTGAAGCGTACTTCGTTTCGGGTGTCTCTTGGCATCGGCTGCGTGTTCCATTTTCTTTCCTTGCCTTTTTGGAAAGCGCCTCTGTGGCCAATCGTTGGGCCACAGCTTTGCCAAGCTGCCTGATGGGGAGGAGGAGGAGAACGGGGGAGGATGGGGAGGATGAGGAGGAGGAGGAGGAGCAGGAATGCGGCATGAAGAGACTGAAGAGGAAGAGGAGGAGGAGGAGGAGGAGGAGGAGGAGGAGGAGGAGGAGGAGGAGGAGGAGGAGGAGGAGGAGGATGAGAGCAGGAAGGAGCGGACCATGATACGGAGAATGACAAGTTGAGCTTTGGGGCTATGTTGTGGTGAGGGGTTCTTCGAGGACTCGTGATGCCTTCTTGGCGCCATCTTGGGGTCCTCTTGGGGTCCTCTGGGGGCCCTCTTGGGGCTCTTTGGAGGGATCCAGGGAGCCCTCTTGGTGCTCTTAAGGGAACTCTGGGAGCGCCTCTTGGGGCAATCTTGGGCCCCACTGTTCAAAAACAGGTCGGCGGCTGCAATTCAGGCCCCCGCCCCTCGGAGGCTCAAAAAGAGCGTCTTGGGGCCCTCTTGCGGCGCTCTTGGAACGCTCCTGGGCGCTCTTGGAGTCGTCTTGGGGCCCTCTTGGGGCCAACTTGAGGGTTCAAGAGCCCATCTGAAGCGAAAAGGCGAGAAGGCATGTACTGTTGGTTTTTGACAGGTTTGGGCCTCTGGGGGGGATCCTCGGAGAGCTCGGAGGGCACTCGGAACCGTCTTGGGGCCGTTTTGGAGCCTCTTGGAGACATTTTGGAGACTATCTTGGGCCATCTTGATGTGTGTTGAGCCATCTTGGAGGCCATCTTGGCCTTCCGAGACCCTCTTGGAGCCATCTTGGGCCAAAAAGAACGCTCTGACACCTCGCGCGGGAGCCCGTCCAGACCCATGGAGGAGGAGGGGTAAAACCTCTTGAGCAGGGGGAGGAAGGAAGTTGGAAAAGGAAGCGCCCTAGACCACCTGCGCCCTAAAGGGCTGGTGGGATATACTTCCGCTTTGGAAGCGTTTATGGTCTTCATGTTTTTTCGCCCAGCTATTGCGCGCGTCCCGTGCTCTCGGTATTATGTGGTTCGCGTTTCTCGCGCCCGCGTGTGTTTTGATGTTTTTCCGCTGTTCGTGTTTCTCATATTCGTTTCCGCGCGTTGCGGCTCCCATGTCAGGAAAACAGAAGAGGAGGAAGGATAACGGGGTCTTCCGTGACATATATATATATATATATATATATATATATATATATATATATATATATATCCTCGCGTTCCTCTCTCCGGATTCTATTGATTTTGCAATGTTAGCAGGATTGTTTGCCAAGTTCCTCATTGCTGAATTTCTCAGAAGGAATTGACTTATCAGCGTTCCGTAGGCTTCCGCGTCTCGGTCTTCCGAATTGTCGTGTTACTGTGTCCTCGTAGTTTCACATTTGTTTCGCTGTTCTCGCTTTTCTCCACCGACGGCGCCTTGCTGTCTAAACTTTTCGTGTTTGTTGCGCGTTTCGTGCTTTTTGTTGCACTTTTCGCGCGCCATTCGCACACTTCGCGCTCTTCGGCCTCTTGTGCGCATCGCTGTATCCATTTTCGCTCTTCTCTCGCTTTTCGCACTTTTCGCGCTTTTCTACTTTTCGAGTGCGTTTCACATGTTTCGCGCAACTTGTCGCACTTTTCGCACTTTTCGCACTTTTCTACTTTTCGCACTTTTCGCGCTTTTCGCGCTTTTCTACTTTTCGCGCTTTTCGCGCTTTTCTATTTTTCGGGGCGGCCACCGGATATCAAGACCTGGATCTAAGCAGCACAGCGGGGGCGGGCCCCCCGCGGGCCCCGCGGCGCGCCGCGGCGCGCCGGCCGCGCAGGCCGCGCCGCGGCGGGCCGGTTTCCGCGCGCGCGGTCCGCCGCGCGGCGTTGCGCGCGGAGTGCCCTCCCGCCGCGCGCTGCCCTCCCGGACCCCTTCGCGTGCTGAAGCGATCACCCAGGAGGGGAAAAAGCACACAGAGACACAATTCGTCGGCGATTCCCAGAAAGTATGGGGAACTATGGGCAGTGGGGGGGAAGACAAAAACCCATAGAGTATAGGAAAATATGGGGGATATTTTTATTTGTGTATATTTATTTGTGTGTCCCAGTTCCCCTTCAATCGCGACGGGAGGGCTTTTCGCTAGTTTCGGCCTCCGGGGGCCCTTCCCGGGCCTCGCGACCGTCAGCAAAGGACCTGGGATGAGAGAGCCAGTCCCGGGGAAAGGGTCCGGACCTGTGGGGGTCGACGTTGTGAACAGATCGCGACGTCGGAGGTCTGGGTTCCCCTCCCCTCTCTGCCTTCCGTCCCCTCGGTCTTCCCCTCTTCTGTCCGCGCCTTGGTCTGCTTCGCTGCGTTCCACCGTTGCCTCACCGTTGCTTGGATCCAAGTGGCCGACAAAACAAAACAAAACAAAGTTTTCGTGCACTCACTCGATGTGTCTGCCTCTCTGACTGCGGTCATTGCTCCCAGACTCCAGCGTAGGACGCTGAAAACCGTGCGCGTTGGCACGGACGAGTGTGAGTGCATGAGCGTCCCGTTGGCGTGGGCGAGGTTATCGCTCGACGTCGTTGGCTCGTGCGTGAGTGGCCGCGTCTGTATTCGTATTCGCGCTGGTCTGCATGCAGCGCTGCGTGGTTTACAACATCGCGTCCTGTATGGCTACTGTACGTTAGTTAGGCTCCGCACCGCAATAAAGGAATTAAGCAAGTTGAACTTGCATCACAGCGTGCTAGTCCGAGAGAGTGAGAGAGAGAGAAGGGTCTACATACATGATACACATAATAACGAAGAGAAGGGGTAACAAAGAGAAGGGGGGACGATCGGGATAGTGGTACGCATTCTTCTGTTCGGGCACGTAAATGTGAACATTGATTTGCCAATTCATTAGTGCTTGCTTTTTCTGCGTCGTATTCCACAGGCGTTGCGCTTGTGCATGCATATGCATTTTCGGGGCGACAGGGTTGAACGTGAGGGAGGCAACGGGCAATCTGCTGCTCAACCTGCCAAGGCGTGGTGGACCTCCGCACTGCTTTGCCGCTTTATTCTAGGGATTCTAAAGTGCTTTGTTGTGGAAACCGCGGGCAAACACGTAGCGACCGTATCTACTTATGGATCTCGGGCGAGGGCGTAATTGTGAATAGCTGGGACATCTGCGGTCGTAGCAGCAGGAGGGAGAGGGATCAATTTGAAGTGCTTGAGCTTCACATGGACGGCCGTCTCCCGCATTTCAACAGAACGTCTGCGCTTTGTAACAGCACGCATGGCATCACAAAACAGACCTTTGTATACATGCGTGAGACTTGCAATTGCAATTTAATGCATCGCCGCCTGTATTTTTAGCAGCAAGAGCAAGTCGGTTTTCGGAGACGGCGGCCCCGTCCTCGTACTCGTGCTCGTCCTGTGGTCTTCCCCCTCCGCGCCGTGATTCCTGGTGACGCATCGTTAGATCGACTGTGGATCATTTCAGACATGTATCCTGCTCCTCCCCTCCTCCTCCTCCTCCTCCTCCTCCTCCTCCTCCTCCTCCATCTCCTCCTCCCCCCCCTCTCCGTTCTTCCCCGGTCGTCGTCTTCGCCGCATCCATATCCATCGCTTTCAATTTCAGCCGTTACTGGAAGCACGCCACCCGTCCTTGTTCTTGTCCCTGTCCTCGTCAGGCTCGACCTCGTCTTGCGCACCCCTGTCCTTTTTCGTCGTCGGTTTTCTTCTTCTCGATGTCATGCTGTTCCTTCTCATAGCGTGCCTCCGCCCCCTCCCCCCGTCAGCTTCGGCTACGCCACCAGCGCGTCGGCGCAGGTGTTCTCGGCAGTGTGGAGCCTGTCAGGCTGGTGGCGGGCTCGGACGTAGAGCATGACCTGAGGAGTGGGAGGAGCAAGGGGAGGAGGAGGAGGAGGAGGAGGAGGAGGAGGATGAGGAGGAGGAGGAAGACCCGAGTAAACCCAATGTGCAGCAGCGACATTGGAAGACACCCTCCCGTTCTAAGTCCCTCTTCATACGCGATTTTTTTCTGTCCACTTCCACAAGAAGCACTCTTCTGGAAGACCAACACCCTACGGGCCTGTCATTCTTGCGGGCGCTCCGTTTGGAAGGCAGCAGCTCGTACCCTTCTAGCTTGTAGTGAGGAATGCGAACAAGCATGATCAGACAGTTCAAGGAGGTGTCCAGTATCGGGGGAGCGTAAGACCCGGGTTTGCCAGGACTCGGGTTCGCTATCGTTTTTTGACGACCGCGCCTCGGATTTTGACGAGGAGGAGTTTCGTGGGATGTCTGCAGCGGGAGGCCTCGTCAGAATGCAGGCTCGGCCTCGCCATTTTTTTGACGACCTCGTCGGGGATTCCGAGTCCCCTGTACCCAGGTCTTACGTCTCCCCGACAGTAGTCTGTCCGTTATGAAGTGTGCCTGTTGTGCAATCTCACCCTTCCGGTGATGACCTTCGGTGCCCCACTTTGAGTAGGAACCGCCCTCCCTCCGTGCAGCGGTTGTACACAATGCAGCCTCTGGCGCTCAATCGGGTGAAGTCTCAAGCGATAGCCTCATTTTGAGAAAGGAGCCGTCCTTCACCTCTGTAACATCTGCACACTTTTCGGACGACTGTGCGTGGCACTGTGGCAGGAGCGCCATTTTGAGAAGGGGCCGTCCTCAGAAAATCGAGGGTCCATAATTTTTCACTGCTTCCGAAAGCATAGTTCTAAAGATCAACAGGAACCTGAGGGTATTCCAGAACGTACCAGTGGCACAGCGGCTGATTTGCGGACAACCTATTGCTTCTCTCAGTCCGTACCTTTTGCTCCCCCTCCCTCCAATGCCAGGGTGCACGGTAAGCAACTGTGACCCCAGCCAGGTGGGCGTTTGACCAACATTTGCCTATTGCAGATCATGTGTATCTCGCCAAGTAGGCGTCTCCGTGCTGGGTCGTGATGCCAACCGAGTCGACAGGCGCCTGTGAGTAAGCGTTGCCGAGCGTGGGTGCAATTCATATTACTGCTCGCGGCGAGGCATTCCCATCATCCTTGCAGCACTCTACGGCGCCTATCAGGCTGCAAACTTTGGATTCTTGAGTTGCATCAGGGCTTGAGCGGGCAGTTTCAAATGCTTTCGCAATGCCGGGGCATGGTTATGCGTAATCAGAGTGAACGATGAATGGATGCGACATGTCACGTAGCACCGCGCTGTGCAGCACGACTGCATTCTCAACCTCATCAAAGACGGCTCGGGCGAGTCACCGCCGTTCCATGTGGCCGAAAAGCCCGACCAGAGTATCCTGGCGCCTCTTGAGGCCTCGGGCCCCTTTTTCCTTCTCGTCGCCCTTGCTCATGCGCTGCCTCTGGGCCCTCTTGGGGCCCCCTTGAGCCTCCTTGGGGTCGGCGGCGAGCGAGGGGGGGAAGTGAGAAGGAGCGGGCCTTCTCAGAAGGCTCGGAAGTCCCTTGGCTTTCTGAGACGTTTTCGAAGCCTTCCCCGAAGACAAACATAATTCTCAGAAGGCGCGAGGGCTTCTGAGAAGTCCCGCCGCCTTCTGAGAAGTCCCGCCGCCTTCTGAGAAGGCCTTCTCCTTCTCACTTCCCCCCCTCGCTCGCCGCCAATGGGGCACTCTGAGACCGTCCTGGAGCACACTTGAGGTCGTGTTGGCCCCTGAGGGATGCCCCCTTGGGGGAGCCTTAGATGCGCTTGAGGCCGAGAGCGCGAGAAGGGTAACACATGCACGTTCCCAATGTTTTCAATTGTGTTGCCCTGTCCAGTTAGCCTTAAGTCGGGCCTGTCCCTCCAACGGAGGAATATTCAAAAATAGTGAAAATAGTCAAGGGACGATTTTTCTATCATTTTTTGAGAATTTTGGAGGTGTATTTGTGTTTGCTGTTTTTTCCCAACCATCCTGTGGTGTTGGGTCCTCGTTTTGAAGAGACAGCGCCCCGCGTCCTCCTCATCTCCTCCTCCTCCCCCTCCTCCCCCCTATAATTCCCAACAATCCTGTGGTGTTGGGTCCTCGTATTGAAGAGACAGCGCCCGGCGTCCCACCTCCTTCCTCCCTCCTCCCCCTCTTCCCTGCGTTTCACCCACCCAGGGCAGCGTCTCGTAGCCCCATAGGGAGCTCCCCCGAAGGCCCCAGTGGGGGTGCCCGCATGCGGTTCTTCCACCCAGGGCAGCGTTTCGTAGCCCCATAAGGAGCCCCACCGAAGGCCCCAGTGGGGGTGCCCGCATGCGGTTCCCCCACCCAGGGCAGCGTTTCGTAGCCCCATAGGGAGCTCCCCCGAAGGCCCCAGAGGGGGTGCCCGCATGCGGTTCCCCCACCCAGGGCAGCGTGTCGTGGCCCCATAGGGAGCTCCCCCGAAGGCCCCAGTGGGGGTGCCCGCATGCGGTTCCCCCACCCAGGGCAGCGTTTCGTAGCTGCATAGGGAGCTCCACCGTAGGCCCCAGTGGGGGTGCCCGCATGCGGTTCCCCCACCCAGGGCAGCGCTTCGTAGCCCCATAGGGAGCTCCACCGTAGGCCCCAGAGGGAGTGCCCGCATGCGGTTCCCCACAGCGTGTCGTAGCCCCATAGGGAGCTCACCCGAAGGCCCCAGTGGGGGTGCCCGCGTGCGGTTCTTCCACCCAGGGCAGCGTTTCGTAGCCCCATAAGGAGCTCCACCGAAGGCCCCAGAGGGGGTGCCCGCATGCGGTTCCCCCACCCAGGGCAGCGTTTCGTGGCCCCATAGGGAGCTCCACCGAAGGCCCCAGTGGGGGTGTTCGCATGCGGTTCCCCCACCCAGGGCAGCGTTTCGTGGCCCCATAGGGAGCTCCACCGAAGGCCCCAGTGGGGGTGCCCGCATGCGGTTCCCCCACCCAGGGCAGCGTTTCGTGTCCCCATAGGGAGCTCCACCGAAGGCCCCAGTGGGGGTGGGTGCCCGCATGCGGTTCCCCCACCCAGGGCAGCGTTTCGTAGCCCCATAGAGAGCTCCACCGAAGGCCCCAGTGGGGGTGTTCGCATGCGTCTCCCCTACCCAGGACAGCGTTTCGTGGCCCCATAAGGAGCTTCACCGAAGGCCTCAATCGGGGTGTTCGCATGCGTCTCCCCCACCCAGGACAGCGTTACGTGGCCCCATACCATAGGGAGCTTCACCGAAGGCGCCAGAGGCGCAGTTCGCATGCGTCTCCCCCACCCATGACAACGCTTCGTGGCCCCATAAGGAGCTCCAGCGAAGGTCCCAATGGCGCAGTTCGCATGCGTCTCCCTCGCTCGTGGCCCCATAGGGAGCTCTCCCGAAGGCCCCAGTGGCGGTGTCCACATGCGTCCGCGCCACCAAGTTCGGCGCACCCTTCACAAGTTTCGTGGCCCCATAGGAGCTTCACCGAAACCAGTACCCACAATGCGGTACTCGCAACTGCACATGGTTGGGTCCTTCGTCAGGCTAGTTTTTTATTTTTCGTCCAAAATCCGCCTGTAGGGGAGTTCCCAACCATCCTGTGGTGTTGGGTCCTCGTTTTGAAGAGACAGCGCCCCGCGTCCACTCCTCCCGCTGCCCCCTTCCTCCTCCCCCTCCTTGCCTCTGCTCTCGGCACACCTCTCACGCGTTTCGTAGCCCCATAGGGAGCTCCACCGAAGGCCCCAGTGGGGGTGTCCACATGCGGTTCCCCCACCCAGGGCAGCGTTTCGTAGCCCCAGAGGGAGCTCCACCGAAGGCCCCAGTGGGGGTGTCCACATGCGGTTCCCCCACCCCGGCAGCGTTTCGTAGCCCCAGAGGAGCTCCACCGAAGGCCCCAGTGGGGGTGTGCGGTTCCCCCACCCAGGGCAGCGTTTCGGCCCCATAGGGAGCTCCACCGAAGGCCCCAGTGGGGGTGTTCGCATGCGGTTCCCCCACCCAGGGCAGCGTTTCGTGGCCCCATAGGGAGCTCCACCGAAGGCCCCAGTGGGGGTGTTCGCATGCGGTTCCCCCACCCAGGGCAGCGTTTCGTGGCCCCATAGGGAGCTCCACCGAAGGCCCCAGTGGGGGTGTTCGCATGCGGTTCCCCCACCCAGGGCAGCGTTTCGTGGCCCCATAGGGAGCTCCACCGAAGGCCCCAGTGGGGGTGTTCGCATGCGGTTCCCCCACCCAGGGCAGCGTTTCGTGGCCCCATAGGGAGCTCCACCGAAGGCCCCAGTGGGGGTGTTCGCATGCGGTTCCCCCACCCAGGGCAGCGTTTCGTAGCCCCAGAGGGAGCTCCACCGAAGGCCCCAGTGGGGGTGTCCACATGCGGTTCCCCCACCCAGGGCAGCGTTTCGTGGCCCCATAGGGAGCTCCACCGAAGGCCCCAGTGGGGGTGTCCACATGCGGTTCCCCCACCCAGGGCAGCGTTTCGTAGCCCCATAGGGAGCTCCACCGAAGGCCCCAGTGGGGGTGTCCACATGCGGTTCCCCCACCCAGGGCAGCGTTTCGTGGCCCCATAGGGAGCTCCACCGAAGGCCCCAGTGGGGGTGTTCGCATGCGGTTCCCCCACCCAGGGCAGCGTTTCGTAGCCCCATAGGGAGCTCCACCGAAGGCCCCAGTGGGGGTGTTCGCATGCGGTTCCCCCACCCAGGGCAGCGTTTCGTGGCCCCATAGGGAGCTCCACCGAAGGCCCCAGTGGGGGTGTCCACATGCGGTTCCCCCACCCAGGGCAGCGTTTCGTAGCCCCATAGGGAGCTCCACCGAAGGCCCCAGTGGGGGTGTTCGCATGCGGTTCCCCCACCCAGGGCAGCGTTTCGTGGCCCCATAGGGAGCTCCACCGAAGGCCCCAGTGGGGGTGTCCGCATGCGGTTCCCCCACCCAGGGCAGCGTTTCGTAGCCCCATAGGGAGCTCCACCGAAGGCCCCAGTGGGGGTGTCCACATGCGGTTCCCCCACCCAGGGCAGCGTTTCGTAGCCCCATAGGGAGCTCCACCGAAGGCCCCAGTGGGGGTGTCCACATGCGGTTCCCCCACGCAGCGTTTCGTAGCCCCAGAGGGAGCTCCACCGAAGGCCCCAGTGGGGGTGTCCACATGCGGTTCCCCCACCCAGGGCAGCGTTTCGTAGCCCCAGAGGGAGCTCCACCGAAGGCCCCAGTGGGGGTGTCCACATGCGGTTCCCCCACCCAGGGCAGCGTTTCGTAGCCCCATAGGGAGCTCCACCGTAGGCCCCAGTGGGGCTGCCCTCATGCGGTTCCCCCACCCAGGGCAGCGTTTCGTAGCCCCAGAGGGAGCTCCACCGTAGGCCCCAGTGGGGGTGCCCGCATGCGGTTCCCCCACCAAGGGCAGCGTTTCGTGGCCCCACAGGGAGCTCCACCGAAGGCCCCAGTGGGGCTGCCTGCATGCGGTTCCCCCACCCAGGGCAGCGTTTCGTAGCCCCATAGGGAGCTCCACCGAAGGCCCCAGTGGGGGTGTTCGCATGCGTCTCCACTACCCAGAGGTAGCGCCGCCGAAAACGATATTCACACTTGCGGTATTCACAGTTGCATATGGTTGGGTCCTTCGCCAGGCTAATTTTTTATTTTTCGTCCAAAATCCGCCTGTAGGGGAACATGCCCGACCTGAAGTTGGCCAGTCCCAATGGCCCCGAAGACGGCCCAAGATGGGGCGACAAGAGATCTGTAGATATCCCCCGCCCCTGGCCAGGCCCGTCCTGGGCCAGGATGGGCCTGGCCAGGCCAGGGACGGCGCATGTTTGTAGATCGAGGGCTCCGGATCTTTGCTGGAAGTCGGCAGGGGCACCCCGACATCATGGCTCCTTATCTCCTTCTTGTCCTCCTCCTCCTCCTCCTCCTCCTCCTCCTCCCCCTGTAGGGGGACACGCCCGACTTAAAAGCAGAGGTTTGATGCATGTCTGGCGTTCTGACACAAGTTCAGCAGAAGCCCCTACTGTACTGCTAGGAAGGTGTCTAACGTGCCAAACCGCAATGTTGTTCAGAACGAAGTTGCACCGAGGAAGCCTCTGCCGAGCAGTATGTTGGCCCCGCAAATCGGATTGCGAGCATTTTTGATCGCTCGGAGAGCAGTGCCACTTTGACAGTCGAGAGAGGTGTAATTCCAACAAGGACTGATATCAACAGCATAGTGGGCAGTTTGGCAGACGCACGCAGTGTGACATTGATATGTTGGAATCGTCTCAGCCTTCTGGTATACATGATCGCTCTCAGCGGGTGGAGCCTCACCTGCGCTTCTACTTGTACTACCTGGCTATTAGCGTTGTGATCGATGCGGTGCCTAGAGCCAAACCCCGATGCCATGATAGGAGAAGGAGGAGCTATATCCGATGCGTAATTTCTTTCCCGCTGTGGACGTTACTGCGCTGTCACTTAGGTTTCTCTCATTTTCCCACTCTCTTGCTCCCGTCTATTGCCAGTGTTGCATATACGCGACGGTTTTTTTTTCTTATCACCTTCTACGGTATTTCCTCTTCTCTTCCTCCCCCTCCTCCATCTCTCTCCACTCCCACATCCTCCCTCCCCCCTCATAGTCATCCTCCCCCCTCATCCTCGTCATCCTCCTCATCGTCCTACTCCTTCCCGCTTCCTTTCATCCCATCCTCTTCCTCCATCCGCGAGAGAGGGAAAGTCTGACGAAGCACCTACTCTCAACGTGGGGATGGAGACCCACGGAGTGGAGAGCAGTGTTAAACTGGCATGCGCCCGACGCGCAATAACAAGTGGCACGTGTGCCATGGCTCTTGCACAAAAAGGAAGGGGGACCTCCCTGGCGGCTTCGCCGCATTAAGTTTCGTCTCGGGGAGTGGGCCGTCCTCGGTGTCGAATCGGATTGCGACCGACTCTTCGCTGCCAGTGATGGTCTCAGACATGCCTCCTGAGCGCTGGGGCGCGAAGACAACGGCCTCAGATGCGGGGGTCCCTCGAGCGTCCTTTCGGAATGTGCCAGACGGCTGACCTCCGCACCCTTGCATCCATGCATCCACCTTCCCATTCGCAAGGGTTGATTGGCACAAGGCAGCCCTTGCGTCCCTGTCCGAACTTTCCTTGCGAGGGTTCGGTGCTCCTGGCATCCTTACACAAGGCAGCCCTTGCGTCCCTGTCCGAACTTGCTTTGCGAGGGTTCGGTGCTCTTGCCATCCTTACACAAGGCTGCCCTTCTGATCCCTGTCCGAATTTTCCTTGCAAGGGCTCGGTGCTCTCCGCATCCTTACACAAGGCTGCCCTGTCATCCCTGCCCAATTTTTCTTCTCGAGGCTTCGATGCTCTTGGCATCCATACGTCCACGATCCCTCTGCGATAGCTCCGCTAAGCGAGGTTATCGTAACGCACATGCCTCCACAGACGAGCTGCTCGCCGTATGCAGACATACCGGTTCGAGCTCTCGTCCCAGCACCGTCACAAACATCCCGTTTGTGGAGACCATGCCCTCCCGACTCATACGAACACTCTTCTGCGCAGGAAGACGAACTCTTTCGCCGTCTGCACCGGAATGGGCTGGGGGTGAAAAAGATCAGCAATGCCACCGGGCGATCTCAGTCCACAGTGTCCCGGCACCTAATCAAGAAGCGCAGGCCTGCAAAAACCAAAAGGACGCCCGAAGGCGTTCGTGAGGACTGAAAAAGGGTTTCTGGCAGCGCAGAAAGCGCTCGCTAGGCTCCTCCGCAAGTCCAAGGGCCTCTCGGAAGTCACGGCGGCCACGGTTACAGATGAGCTGGGGGAGTCGTGCTCCACCTGGGCCCTCCAGCTCCCGCATCCGTTGCGCCCGTGCCTCGGCTCGCCTTGTCACGCCTCCGCGTAACTGCTGGAAAAGGCTCGGCAACGCAAGGCTATCCCTGCATCCCTGTCTCCACGTGCCGACTCCAAGGGTTCGGCTCGCCATGCCATTCCTCCGCGCGACTGCCTGCAAGGGTTCGGCGACGCAACGCTACCTTTTGCATCCCTGTCTTCCAGTTGCCGATTCCACGGGTTCGGCTCGCCATGCCAAAGGCGCCTCATGATATTATTCGATTGGTATGGTGGGATATGGGGCCCGGGTCGATGAGAGGGGGCCGGATCGACAATAAGAGGGGCAGGGTTACGTCTTTCTTAGAGGACAACTAGAGGACAACTAGAGGACAACCTAGAGGACAATCTAGAGGACAACCAGTTTCGCGTGGAGCTCCCTGCAAAAGCATTGCCATAACACATAAGAATGTTCCTATGGTTTTCTAGAGGCTTAACCATGTTTTTGCAGGAAGCTCCACGCGAAACTGAGGGGGCACGGGGCGGAGGTCCCATTGGGGCGCTGGGGGGGGGAGGTGGTGTGCGTCGCGACGCGGAATAAAATGGAGGGGGCACTGAGCAAGGCTTGGGGCAGAGGGCCACGGGGCGGGGGTCCAACTGGGGCGTTGGGGACAGGGGGGGAAGGGTGGGAGGTGGCGTGCGTCGCGACGCGGAATAACACTGTCGGGGCGGAGGGGACACGGGGCGGAGCCCCCCACTGGGGCGCTGGGGACGCGGGGAGGGAGGTGGGGCAGGTGGTGTGCGTCGCGACCCGGAATACAGCGTTCGTGGCGGAGGGGGCAGTGGGCGGGGCTCCCGCTGGGGCGCTGGGGACGCGGGGGGCCCGGGGCAGAGAACCACGGCGCGGGGGTCCCACTCTGGCGCTGGGGACGCGGGGGGGGGGGTGCGATGCGGAGTAAAGCGTTCGTGGCGGAGGGGGCAGTGGGCGGGGCTCCCGCTGGGGCGCTGGGGATGCGGGGGGGTTCGGGATTGGGGCAGAGGGCCACGGCGCGGGGGTCCCACTCTGGTGCTGGGGACGCGTGTGTGTGTGTGTGTGTGTGTGTGTGTGTGTGTGTGTGTGTGTGCGTGCGACGCGGAATAAAGCGTTCGTGGCGGAGGGGGCAGTGGGCGGGGCTCCCGCTGGGGCGCTGATGACGCGGGGGGGCTCGGGGCAGAGAGCCGCGGCGCGGGGGTCCCACTCTGGCGCTGGGGACGCGGGGAGGTGTGTGTGTGTGTGTGTGTGTGTGTGTGTGTGTACGACGCGGAATAAAGTGTTCGGAACTCTAGACACCCTGTGCAAGAGAATAATGTTTGGCAGTGTCTAGGCCGTCCCCTTTGCATGGGTGATTTGCGCATGCACGTGCCCTGGACTTGTGGCCTTGGGCAGCCCGCGAAACTTAGGTCGTCGTGACAACGCCTACGTACCCGATGCCCTAAATCCGTCGAGTGCTGATTCGCACTTATTGGAACCAGTACGGTCAAGGCCAGGCACATGGATGATTGCTCTTGGACTGTCACCCACTGCACGATTTGCTGGACACCGTTAAAGGTCCAGTTTCGATCCGATCCGATCTCCAACCTTCGGTTCCGATCTCGATCCGATCTGAACCGATTCGGCACGAACCGATTTCCTCTCCAGCCTTCAGGGGTCGAGACTGATCGGGGACCCCAAGCGATCCGATTTCGATCCTATTCTGCGCCGATTCGGACACAATCCGATCCAATCCAATCCGTTTCCGATCCGGTTCGGTTACGAGATTCGATCCAGCTCACGCCTGCTGTTGCATCCTCTCTGGCCTTTCTGCCCTTCCGTTCTCCTGCTCCTTCACATCCGTAGCTTATCCCATGTCACACATACCTGCAACACAGCCTCCAAGAGTTCTTCCGCGACGTGAACCTTGTCGCTGCATCGCCAAACTCACGTTTGTGTCTGACTCGAAGGTCCAGCTCTTGAGTTGTGCATTGTGAAGAGCTGTCCCTCGTACCCTCCTCTCCACTTCTCCCCCCTCCCTTTCCTCGCCGTCCTCCGCCTTCCTCCTTCGCACTGCCGTGGGTTTGCCAGGGTCGGCGGAGCTTGCTGGTCTGCTGGTCGCTGCCCGGCCAAAACTGCGGCGTGCCGCCGCGAACAGGGAGGAAGGGGACACGGGGAAGGTGATGAAAGGGGGGCGGAAGAGGAGTGGGATGAGGACGAGGAGGCGGAGGAGGAGGAGGAGGAGGAGGAGGAGGAGGAGGAGGAGGAGGAGGAGGAGGAGGAGGAGGAGGTGGAGCCACGCTGTTTGAGGGGCCACCCCCCGGAGGAGCCGGCCACCCCTGGAGGGGCCGCCCTGCTGGAGGGGCGGCGGGGAAGTCTGCCGGCTCCCGATCACGGTGCGCCCGCGGCAGACGGACCCGCGGCGCCGCGGAGGAGGAGGAGGAGGAGGTGGAGGAGGAGGGCGGGGGAGGAGGGGGAGGAGGAGGGGGGGGGGAGGGGAGGAGGGAGAGGGGGAAGCTGAGAGAGAGAGTGGAGCAGGCTGGATCTGTGGCCTGATGTAACGATGGGGTCCGACATCAGGCGTATATCGTCAACCTCCTCCTGATACAGGACCGGGGCACCTCCGCTCCTCCGCCTGCGGCCTATTCTGGCTCCGCGGCTGCTGTTCCTCCTTCGCGCCTCCTCGCCCTCGCGGGTCTCGCTTCCGCGGCTGACATCTTGCCCGCACGCGCATCTTCACATCCGACTGCCTCCGGCAATTCCGCCACCGTGCCAGCGCAGCATTCCGGGTGACAAGTATTCGAGGGCGGCAAGGGAGCCTTTTGGGGGCCTCTTGGGGCAGAAGGTGCGAATTCTTGGTTCGTATTCCCTCTCTTGGAGCCTTCTTGCAGCTGTCTGGGGGCCATCTTGCGCAGTCTCGGGCGCCTCTTGGGTCGGCTTGGCGCCCTCTTGGGTCGTCTTGGAGCTTTTTTGGGGGCCTCTTGAGCCGTCTCGATTGGGCCGTCTTGGATTGGAGCGTCGGAAGCTCGAAAAGGCGAGAACCTCAAAAACTTTGAAAAAGCATCAGAACGTCAATTCTTTTTGTTTTTCGGGCCCTCTTGGGGGCCTCTCGTGGACCCTCTTGGGGCATCCTGAACCCTCTTGGGCCAGACGGCTCGAATTGTCGGTTCGTGTTCACCCTCTTTGGCCCTCCTTGGGGCCGCCTTGGGGCCCGCTTCGGCATTCTTGGGCGCCTCTTGGGCCGTCTCGGAGCCCTCTTGGGCCGTCTTGGGGCCCTCTTGGGGGCCTCTTGGGCCGTCTTGGGACAGTCCTGGTGGCCTCTTGGGTCGTCTTGGGATGGCGGAAGCTGAAAACGGCGAACATCCGAAAAACATAAAAACACCTAAGGACAATCATTGACTTAGGCTTCTCGTGGCCCTCATGGGAATGCTCATGGGGCTTTCTTGGACGCCTCAAGGCCTCGTGGGCCGTCTCGAGGCCATCTTGGGCTGTCTTCATTCCAACGCGGCGAGTTTTGGAGCGATACTGGCCAGTCTCGGAGGCTTCCGGGCGTCGGGAGCCCGAGTCTGCTGTATTCTGCGGGGGATCGTGGCCTCGGGAGGAGGGAGCGGTGCATGCCCCCGGGCGCGGCCCGAGGAGGGGGGGGCCCTTAGACAAGTACGGTAGGTTTGCGTCGTGTCGACCAGCGGCGACCCCAGCGCGGGCGTTCAAGGTTGAACGCCGCCGGCGACCCAGAATCGATCGATGTTGAACGATCGGACGTTGCGGAGACGGCCGATCGTTCAAGGTTGAACGATCCAGCGCGGTGTCAGGAACCAACGCCAGGGTCGACACGGCACGGACCTGCAGTACAGAAACCCTACCAGGCAGCACCCGGCATTCTGGCCCGCCCACACGTGCCAGGGGGCACGGTGGGGGATTCAAGAGGCTTACGTCATTTCGCTGACCCCCAGAAGAGAATCTGGACGGCTTCCGATTTTGTCTGCGCCTTTCGCCGTTTCGCGTCGTGCTGCCAGCGTGAGGCTGCTGCTGACTCTGCCTTTTCCTCCGCTTCTGTTGCGGGGCTTCTTGGAGGCCTAGGGGGGCGGCCTCATGGAGCCCTTTTAGGGCTCCTGGGGGCCTCTGGGCCTCTTGGGGGCATCTTGGGGCGCCTAGGGGCCATCTTTTGGGGGAAGGGCTCCCTGGTCCCTGCGGGTTCCCCCTCGAGGTCTTTGGGCCCCTCTTGAGGTTTTTTTCCGGAGAGGGCGCAGGCCCAGGGTTCTCTGTTAGTGGTGTCATTGTCCCTGGTGGCGTGCTGGGGGTGGCAAGGGAAGGGTGGGTCGGCGGATCCTTTTCTGCGGATGTCCTAAGCGAAATGCTGCTTTCTGAAATTCGGATCGATAAAACACAGGGTGGAGTACAACTTTCGTTTGTTGCGGATGTCTCGATGGAACAGCTTCTTTTGCAGAATTTGTCGAGGATGTCCTGAGCGAAACGTTTGTTTTGTTCTATCCGTAAGGGCTTCGCCCCCTGCCGCCGGCCCCCTCTCTCGGAGAATGGGCCATGGAAGAGCTAAGTCATGAGGCCTTGGCGCTGTCGTGAAGCAGTATCGAAACTTCATGCGAAGCCGATTCGCAATCAGCAAAACCAACTGATCACAAGAGGGGTTACCACACCTGGCGATTGGTAAGACGTGTATGGTTTACGGGCTTGGTTACCACACCTTGCGATTAAAGGGCCGAGGGAGTTCTCGCAGTTTGGGTTACCACGCCTTGCGATGGATGTGCGTGAAGGGTGGCACCGAATTTCAGAAATGTGGCAAATCCCCTGTGTTTTTGGACCCTGACCCCGCGGATCTGCGTGAGGGGTGGCACCGAATTTCAGAAATGTGGCAAATCCCATGTGTTTTTGGACCCTGACCCCGCGGATCTGCGTGAGGGGTGGCACCGAATTTCAGAAATGTGGCAAATCCCTTGTGTTTTTGGACCCTGACCCCGCGGATCTGCGTGAGGGGTGGCACCGAATTTCAGAAATGTGGCAAATCCCATGTGTTTTTGGACCCTGACCCCGCGGATCTGCGTGAGGGGTGGCACCGAATTTCAGAAATGTGGCAAATCCCCTGTGTTTTTGGACCCTGACCCCGCGGATCTGCGTGAGGGGTGGCACCGAATTTCAGAAATGTGGCAAATCCCATGTGTTTTTGGACCCTGACCCCGCGGATCTGCGTGAGGGGTGGCACCGAATTTCAGAAATGTGGCAAATCCCATGTGTTTTTGGACCCTGACCCCGCGGATCTGCGTGAGGGGTGGCACCGAATTTCAGAAATGTGGACCCCGCGGATCTGCGTGAGGGGTGGCACCGAATTTGAGAAATGTGGCAAATCTTCTGTGTTTTTGGACCCTGACCCCGCGGATCTGCGTGAGGGGTGTCGATTTCGAGCCCTCCCAGCAATTCAGACAACGCGCCCAGGGGGTGCTAAAAATCTGGTTTGGGCCTCCCCCGCCTCGCGCGGTCAATCAACTAGTTACAGTAACCAGCAATAAGCAGAACTGTAACACTGGAAACTACAAGCTACAATTGGTACAGGAAACTGCGAATCCCGCTCCTCGCAGCCTGGTGGCCCCACAAGGGGGCCATCGGATATATTGCTCCTCTCCTGGGGGCCAGAATTCTGAGGAGGTCTCAGGCGAAGTACTTGTTTTCACGTGCCCAGGTCGCCAAGAGAGGCATCTAACATGCTTGTCCTCAGATGGAACATAGTGTTTTCACGTGTCCCCACCCAGGGGGTATCGAACATTGTGGTCCCGAGCTGGAACCTCGGTGTTTTTACGTGTCAAGGCCGCCCAGTGGATGAGGGTGTCTGGGATGGTTGCCTCTTGCCCCTCGCTGGAACATTTGACGTGTCCAGTCACCCAGAAGGGTATCTAACACGGTGGCCCCGAGCTGGAACGACGTGTTCTCATGCGTCGAGGCCACCCAGAGAGGTATCTGACATGGTGGTCCCGAGCTGGAAATACGTGGTTTTACTCGCTCAGGTCACCAAGTGGGGTATTTAACGTGGTGGCCCCGAGCTGGAACCACGTGTTCTTACGTGTCCAGGCCACCCAAGGGGGTATCCAACATGGTTGCCCCGAGCTGGAAGCAATTGTTTTTACGTGTGCAGGCCACTCAGGGGGGGCATCTAACATGTGGTCGTCTGGGAGCCCCCAGCGTGGGGGCCCACAAGAACCAGACAGAATCGATACATCGACACCAGACGTGTAATAACTTGGCACAGTTTCTTCGGCTGGTGATTGACCAGAGTTCCCGCTGGGGTATCTAACATGGTGGCCCCGAGCTGGAACCATGTGTTCTCACGTGTCCAGATCACCCAGAGTGGTATCTAGCATGGAGGTCCTGGGCTGGAGCCACGTGTTTTCACGTGTCCAGGCCACCCATGGGGATCTCTGACACGGTGGCCCCGAGCTGGAACTACGTGTTTCTATCTGTCCAGGCCATCCAGGGGGTATTTAACATGGTGGTCCCGAGCTGGAACCTAGTGTTTTTACATGTCCAGGCCGCCCAGGGGGTGAGGGTATCTGGGATAGTTGCCTCTTGCCCCTCGCTGGAGCCAAGTGATTTCACGTGTCCAGGCCACCCAGTGACCCCGAGCTGGAACCACATATTTTCAGGTGTCGAGGTCACCCAGAGAGGTGTATCTAACATGGTGGCACCGAGCTGGAACTTTGTGTTTTCAGGTGTCCAGGCCACCCAGGTGGATATCTAACATATAGTGGTCCCGAGCTGGAACCGCGGTCGCGGTCGTCGCTGTTCGCCGTCGTCGTCGTCGTCGGCGTTTCGGCCCGCTCCTTCTCGATGCATTTCGCCTCGGTTTGGATTCGCCCCTATGATTTCGCCCTGTTGCGGAACATAATCCTTTCATAAGGTCTCGACTGCAAGCAGCTCTGGGCGAGCAATCGCCCAGTCAGCTCGAGCTCGAGGGCCCAGCTCAGTTCTGTCAGGATTCGGATGCCAGGGAAGACTCGATCCACGACGCAACAGAGCACAGAACTGTTCAGATTCGCCCCCTTTGGGTTCGTCCCGCTTCCGAAGTGAATCGGATCTTGAGCTCGAGCTGGTCGAACGCCCCGAGTGTTTCGATTGCGGC